CACACACATCACCCCCACGGCCACCAACTCATCAATGGCCTCGTTGGGGTCGCCCCCTACGGACGACGAGCACATGATGGAGGTGGACGAGGAGGCGGACATGATGGTCATCGACCACTCACTGTGAGAGCAGACGGATGACCAGGCGGCCAGCCGAGGGCGCCTGTCTGTCTGGCTGTCAGTGGTGTGTTTGACTAGAGGGATGGAGTCAATTGAGGGGTGGCGAGATGTGACTGCGTAACTTAGCGGGGGTGAGTAGGGCGTTTGCCTTGCTGCACGGATGCGTTGCCTGTGTGCAGCGATGAATGGACGCGCTACTGATTGAGAGAGGGAGCTGGTTGCAGCACCTGTGTGTGCTCTTGCAGCTGCGTGTGTCTGTCTGACTGACTATTTTTCCCGTCACTGTCTGTGTGTGCGTGTGCCTATCTGTGAGGCGGCGGGCTGGACGGGATGCACCAATGGGATGGACTCGATCATGATTACGTCAAACGGACTTACACACACCATTGGTGATGTCTGATCCAAACATTAACACACGTACAGGTGTCCCTCACAGAAGTAGATGAGTGCACCAGGACTCAGGCGCGCTCAGAAGTACTCAAGTCTATCAAGCTTCAAATATTTCGTCTCCCCTCCGCCCACTCCCTTGCCCGCCACCTCCACAACCATCTGCACAACTCACAAGCCCGCATAGACAGCAGCGTGCAGCATTCATCCACGTGGCTCGTTGACCCACCTCTTTGTGCATAGCAGTAGCCACTCGATGCGTCCTCAGCAGCGACACTGGCGAGACCAAGCTGCTGTGCGGCACCCTCTGGATGAGAACAAAGCCATGGTACTTCAGTGGATCACCTGAGGGAAGGGCGAACACCACACCACACCACACCACACCACACCATGAAATGTTAAAAGCCGGGCGGCTCTCCACGTCTATGTACCTGTGTACATCACAGAGGTCCCCCCGAACTTGAGACCCGCCATCGAGAAGCGCACGGAAGAGCACACTGCATCCTCGTCTTGCCGCTTTCTCTTGCCCAGCGCACTCGCAGGACCCTCATCGACACTGATCCCACCCGACTCGCCGCGCCGTCCATTGGACGAGCGGCTCCCTCGCTGCATGTGCCTGATGGCCGTGGTCTGGTCGTCCGAGTAAAGGAAAGGGGCGCCGAGCTGCTTGTTCTGTTGACAGGCAATGGGGAGTGTCCCGATCTCTGCAGCAACCAAGCCACATTGCTGTCGCAGATCACGGGCCGCCTGCCACTCCCACACGAGCGACGGTGGCCGCTCCTTTGCATCTCGCTCTCTGCCATCCCTGCAGAACACGCAGACAAACAGACATGTGTGGCGATTCGTTCATTCATGGCCATCGGTTGCTCTCGTGCTTTCTGACCCGTTGTCATGCTCATTGTCATCCGCGGCCTTCAGTGCGCCCGCCTCGACGCCCTCGATGAATGCATGGCTCTCGTCATCGGCATCATCCAGATGGTGCCTGTGATTGTCGTCGGCGTCCATCATGTTCTGCTGATCTGATGAAGGGGACCTGCCTTCACGGCTGGGCGGACCCCCGTAATCTGTCACTGCTGCTCATCTCTCAGTGCGAGCTCAAGCTCATCAAAGCGGCAGGCGTTAGCCATGGCTTTGGCAGCTGCACTGGTTTCAGGAGGCACGTCTCAGATTTTGGCCCTGCTGTGGAGATTGATGTGCGGTTGCGTGTCGCTGGTGATCAACTGCGTGCTGTACCAATGGAGGCGGACCAATGGGGGCAACAGCAGCCACACATATCAACACCAGGTTAAAGCAAGCATCGGACAAGAAAACACGGCGATAGATAGATCTTGTCATTGATTCACCATGTCTGTCATCCTGTGGTGTAATGTGTGTTCAGGGCACGTCATCTGTCCTATCGACATTGCACGACTACCAGGTGCGGCTGCCGGCCATCGCCGACCGGTTTGCACAGTGGGCAGCTGACATGTACATCAGCTCGTGGTACACCACTCTGTCCAACCCGCCGGACCATACCTTCCCCCGCGAGATCCAGCGGATGATGCGCATGATACTGGAAGACGTCATCAGCAGGATACAAAGGTCAGCCAGTGGGCAGCGACAGACACAGACAGTATACACAGCTCTGAGGCTGGCTTGTTCTGTGTGCGTGTTGTGTGTGTCTGTGTGTGGTGGTTGTCATCCATCCTTTGTCCATCCATCGGTGTATGTATCTATCAGGGTTGATGTGCGTGGGCTCTTGGACGAGCTGCTCGCCATCCTGCACGCCCACATCATCGTAAGTGATGGACCTGACACGCCCTGATTGCACCTGTGTGTGCGTCTGTCTGTCTGTCTGTCTGTCTGGCAGATATGTGAGCGCGTGCCGTCGTTTGCCACTGAGACCATCAACAATGGGCCGCCCACACAGACACAGAGGGCGGGTAGCGAAGGAGAGATGGCCGCTTTGAGATCCCTGTGCGGCCCTGACGGCCTGGGCCTGCCATTCCACGCCGCTGTGGAGAGCTTCGCAAAGGTCGGTGTGCGGGGTGGTGGCGTGGCTGGCCGATCAAGGGAGGGGGATGCTAGAGTGATTGAGTGAGAGCGTGCTGTGTGTAGGAGAAGAGCTACTACCGCCAGCTGGCCGATGTGTTGGTGCAGCTGTGCACGCCCCCTGAATACGCAGAGGAGATTCAATCAGTGGTAGGTACTTACTGGCAACACGAAAGACCCAGAGCCCGTTGATGGCATGGCACTCTCTCCCTTGCCCTGCGTGTGTGTCCGCCTTCCCTCTCTCTCTTGTGTCATGTCAGCTGACCCGTGGGTTGGTGATAGAGGTGGTCGCGTCATTCGTATTCTACTCGCCCGTCTGTGTGCTGCTGGACTCCCTGCCCACACACGCCTCTTCCCTCGAGCACCAGATGCGCGCACTCCACCTGCCCCTCTCCCTCCCATCGCCACCACCCGCACAGACACTGACGGTCCTCACCAAACATGGCAACAGCAAGGAATCCCATAAGCCTGCAGAAGACTCATTACTGTGGCGTGACACGACGAGCAGCACGTCGGTGTCACACCTGCCCGTGTCGGCGAGTGCTGTGGTGGAGAGCCATGCTGCTGTTGAGGGCAGCAATGGCGATGGCGATGGCGACGTCAGCGATGTGTCGTCGTCTGGGGGCCTACAGCTGTGTGAGCAAGAAGAGGAGCAGCAGCGTCACGACGACAGCCTGATGCGCCACGAGAGGCCCACGCCCACACACGACCCCTTCTGCAGCCCAGCATTCGACCACTCTTCCACCCCCCGCCACCACGATCATGTGGCACCATCGCGACAACAACTTCCAACTTACAGCCGGTCATCCACCCCGCCCCGCGATTATGAGGCAACGCATTACGCCCACCTGCCCTCTCCCCGCCCTCCGCCTCTGCTGCGGTCCCTGTCGCTCTTCAGTATGTCACCCGCTGTGTGTGGCTCACTGTCGCCCTCACCGAGAGAGCAGAGGAGGGAGATGCCGTCAGGGAGACGGGTGGAGCTTGTCGGTGGTGAGCATGGCGATTGCGGCCACTCCCGTGGTCTCGAGAGGAGACAAGATGGTGACGATGGCAAAGTGATGATGATGCGCTCTCGGTCGTGCCCAGCGCTGGAGTCTATGAGTCCACTAGCATTCCCCTCTCCCTCTCCGTCCCCTCCCGCTCATCAGTGGCATCTGGTGGACCACGCCCCCGCATTATTCCCTCCCCCCTTGCCCCTTCAGGCGTCCTTTCCCGCCATGCCCACTCACGACATCACGGGGACGGGCCAGACCGACACGTCGACGCCGCTGCTCACCACATGCGTCATGGCGGACTCCACGTCAGCCGATGGGAGGCGGAGAAGCCGGTCGATGTCACCCTCACTGAGGCATGACAGCCAACCGGACCTGCTTCCTCCTTCATCCCCTCCCCCTCCCATGCCCCTGCTGGACGGCGCCATGCAGAGGAGCCGCACAGAGACGGCCGACCATCATGTGTTTCTGAGGCAGAGGAGAGTGGGCGGCGTGCGCGTCAGCAGCCGTCAGCAGGAGAGGGAGCGTCTGTTGTGGAGTCAGCGGCTGATGCTGTCGCCCTTTGTGGACGGGCCACTGTACGGTGCACTGAGCCACGTGCACGAGGCATCGGTGCTGATGCCCGGGGGGCGGAGAAGGAGGGGAAAGAGGATGCTGGCATTTGACAAAGCGGTACGAGACAGACAGATACGTAGGGAGGGATACATCGGCATTCATTTGTGTGGATATATGTGTGTGGGTATGTGCCGTCCAGAGGTTCCTTTTGGAGACTCTGCTGCGGGCGAGGCCGCCTCCCTCTGCTGTGTTCAACGAGTATGCAAACCACCCCGCCGGCGGACAGCCGCCACTGCACATTGGCGCACACATGTCTCCCGTGTGCCTGGTGTTCTCTAATCAGTGTGTTGGCGCCTCGCTCGTCGGCGCCTGCCGAGCTGCTCGAGGGGGAGGGAGCGCTCTCTCAATGGTGGAACCCTCAAAAGGTGGGCATCCACTGACAGCCTATTGTGACTGGATGCTCGTTGTGTCTCTGTCTGTGAATGGTCAGATGGAGGGGCGAGCATGGTTACGGCGCCAGGCCGATGTACGTGCACTGCAGCACCCCCCGCCCCGCCCACTACTCAAACGCGAGCCGCCCTGTCGTCATCACGCCAGCCGTGAGCTGCACGACGCCCCTCATGGCATTCGGCGACGTGGGGTGGTCAAGGGCAGCAGTGAAGGGGCCACTGGTGAGCACGCTGAGGCGAGAGAAGATGGGCTGGGGGGAGGGGGTGAAGGTGGCGGTGGTGGCGGGGCAGATGTGGTGGGGAGTGCGGTTCAGCTCATGGGGACACTGATGGGCCTCTCGCACACGGTATCTATCTGAAGCTGAACAGACAGACAGAAACGACCGACTGACCGCGTTGATGGATACGCCCACGTGTGTGTGTCACACCTTTCCGCTTTCATCAGATGAGGTGGCTGACCAGGCAGCTCATGGGGGCCTGTCTGGCAGACAAGAGCGTCGCTCGCATGATCACACAGGTAAGCGACGCCATTCCATGATGAGTCGGTGCGTGCATCCGTCAATTCGTCAGGTCGAGAGTGCGAGTCTGCCCGCGTTGGCTGGTTTCACTCTCGAGGCTGTCATGGCCGCATTGGACGAGGCAGAGGCGCCACACGACACCCACCTGCCCCTCGTTCCCTGGCGCTTCCCATTAGCAGCAGAGGTCTTCTTTCGGGTGCTCGCCGGTGAGTAAGGTGACTGATGTGTGACCTAACAACACATCGGTGCTGTGTTGATGTGTGTATGTGTCTGTATGTCTGTCTGTCTGTATGTATGGCAGGTTTGTTGGGTGTTGGTCGCGGGATGGCGTTGGTGCTGATGCTGCTGCGGCAGCGTGTGGTGTGTCGCCATCTGTGCCTCAGTGTCATGCAGGCCATTCTACGGCACACTTTCCCTGATGCATCACACAGGCTAGATGCACTGGTGACAGGGGGCAGATGATTGATGCTCGTCTTTGTGGACACCCGCCCTGGTCTCTGACTCGTTTTTGCAGGGCTGCTAATCGTTTCCATGGATGCATTTTTATGCGTTCATAGGAGACGCGAATGAATGAATGAATGAATGTGCGAGGGGAGGTTGATGTTGCTGTGAATGTGTATTCCTGGTGCAATGCATGACAGTGTATTCATTGTACATTCTGGTAATTTAGTAATACACTGTAAGTTAGTAATACAAAAACCGCGGTGTCTCTTGGAAGTACGAGAATAGACTTGCCTGTCTTGGGATCCTCAGCAAGCCTCTCGTGATGAGATGCCATTCCTGACGTGTCAATTCCCATGCTGAGACGATCTGGGCAGTTGCCGCCTCCGTGAAACCGCTCTCTCGCCGGCCCCCACTGCACAGTAGTTTCTCCACGCCTCCTTCAGACCCCATTTTCATCACAATGACAGCTCTTCAGTCCTTTGCGGCGTCTCTTTTGCTTTTCGCCGTGTTGTTCTGCCAGTGCAACGGCAACTTTCTTGATGAAACCACTGCTCTCGAATTCGGTGAAGCGTTCTCAAGAATGCATCGAATTCATGCATGGCTTGAGTTCCTTGCTCTTGTCCCCTGAATGCATGCACAGGCCAGACAGAGCTGGGCGGTGGCTCGTGTTACGCTGCCTCGCTCCAGGACTACAACATCTTCATGGAGTGCGATGACCCGGACCTCAGTCAGCGGGCACACACACAGATGTCATGGCTGTTCAGGCGGGCAATGGCATATCATCCCCTCCGCTTGCACTGACATGCAGACGAAGGGCGGCTCTGCGGCGATGTCAAGGGCAAGAATGGCAAGACAACTCAGTGCAGATGCGGATACGACAAATTCCACAATGAGTTCGGCTGTCAGGTGCGTGAGCAGAAAAAGAGAAACATGGGATGCCTTTGACGCATGTCGGCTTTCCTTTGGCCTCTCTTACTGTACGTGAGCAGAAGGTGACAGACCTGGTTTCGTCTGAAGGTGACGACGTGCGGCGCTATGCTTTGTGCTGTGTTGGCGACTTTTGCGATTCCGTGCTTGCAGGCTCCGATGATGACACGTGCCCTGTCACGATGGACCACCCCAAGTGCTCGGACCACCCCGGCAAGTCCCTCGTCTGTGGCGCGAAGAAGGCCGGCGACTGGGAAAAGACGCCTGATTTCCGTTCCGAGAACTGCCGATGCGGCGTGAACAGCGACACTGGCAAATTCGGCTGCCATGTACTTGCACACGTTGCGGATGCAGAAGCCACGTGTGGATCATGTGTGCGTTTCACGTTTCTGCGTGCAGCTCATCAGCGACCTGAAGTCGGGAGACGATACTTGCCCATACATGATCTTGGACGATGAGAAACAGATGTGTGGAGGTACAACACCACGGAGGTACAACACACAGTACATACGCACATTCTCACACTGGCATTCGCGTGTGCATTTTCTGCGATGGGCCTTTACAGCTTCGGGTCACGATGACACCATCTGTGGGTCGGCCCGGGCCTACGTGGATGGGTAGCCAAACAGTTTGCATCTCACGCATCTCCCGCACATGTGCTCACACGTGTCTCTCTCTTACGTAGTGGCGAGAAGAAGCCGGACCTGCTGGCAGGCATCAACGAGGAGTGTCGTTGCGGAAAGCATACAGACACCGGCAAATACGGATGCCATGTAGGTGTGAGCACCTGCATCCATACAATCACGCCTACGCGGCACACATGAAAGACATCCTCCTCTCTCCGTCTGTGTGTGCGTGTCCAGGTTGCGGCCAACCTTCCCGAGAAGGAAATCCGCATCAAGAACACCTGTCCCGTGATGACCAAGAAGGGCAAAAAATGCTCCGGTAACGAACATGGCAACGAGACACAGGAACGAGACACTGACGTATTTGTGATTTGTGCGCATGTATGTGTGTCTCAGCCATGGCCACGATGACCAAGCAGATCTGCGGGACTGAGCGCAGCAGGTACTTACATGCGCCACACACAGAAGGATACATATACATGCTGACCCGTATCTGTGTGTATACAGGTCGACAACGGGCAGAAAGGAGCCCGACTGGCTGTCTGAGGAGTGTCTCTGCGGCTATCACTCAGAGACCGGAGACTTCGGATGCCACGTAAGTCATCCATCTGTGGTTGTGCGCATGACACTGAATTGTCACCGTGTCTCCTTGGTATACAGCTGAAATCGGACATCGACACAGAGACCTTCGGTACGCGTATGACTGGCTCAAAAACAGTGCACACATCAGTCATTTGTATATCTGCTGACACATACAGAGATGGCCCCTCTCGCCCCAGAGCCAGCCAAACCAGCCAAGCCGAGCAAACCAGCTGGTAGGGCAGAGCTGCCCATCCTTGGCCAACACGCAGCCAAGTTCGATGTGTCCGTGTGCGCACATGCAGAAGCTCCCTGCAGCATCAAGATGACGCGCAAGCACACCAAATCGGCCAACACGGTGAACTTCTACTACGTTCCGCAGAAAGCGATTACTGGCTGCGAGGCTTCCCAAATCTGCGCTGTCGGACTGCATCAAACGGACGTCCTCGAGGTTCTACATTACATTGCTGATGCTGCGTCTCAGTCGTCTGCGTGACTGGTGCTCTTCTTTTCCTTGCTTGCCTCATGCAGGTGGATTTCGGTGACAGCAAGGCCACTCTGGACGGAGCGTGCATCGGCTTTTCCACCGCAGAGAAGCTGTGCGCCGAAGACCGCGTTGTCATGGCTTCCCTGCTCTCAGAAAACGGCGCAAAGATGTGCACCCAGGAAGGGACGGTATGCCTGCACATTGCAGAGCCAGCCACAGGCATGGACTTCCGTGATGATTCATTCACTGGATGGATGGATGGATGGATGCAGGCAGTGAAAGTCACCAACCTGCCGAAGGGCAAGGGCTTGCAGACGAAGATCCTCCCAGCGGAGGACTACTCGGCCTCGGTCATCGTCAACGAGGGCGGCACCAAGACTCGCTACAACTACTACCTGCCCGGTATGGTAGTTGTGCAGATGACCAATCAGGTTCATGGCAAGGGGTGCTGGATGTGTCTTGTGGGGCAGGATCGGCCAAATTCGCCGAGTGGGCCGACAAGCCTTTCCTCCAGACGTGAACGTGCCCAGCTCAAGATGAGCAGCCGAGCGAATGACATGTCAGGCAACAATGCAATCAATGGATTCCGACAGAGACAAGGAAGCCAGCAGCCCCTCGTTTTTCTTTTAGAACGGCAAAGACAACCTTTTGATGGACTCTGATTGAGATAGCCCAGAGACATGAAGTGCATGTGTGGCTCACGCGCGTTTGTCCCAAGTTTCTTTTGATAATGGATTGGGACGAGATAATGCCGATCACGTTCTTTCTGACTCACTGACTGAGAACATCTCGTTCTCGTGCTGGAGAGAGCGGAGACAAGAAAGACATTAAACAGGAAGATGCGCCGCGCCCACAAACATTCAACAGACGAAGAGAATGGACAACATCCGCCATGGCTTCTAAGGAGAACCAGCTTAGCGGACGCACACACAGATACGAATGTTCATCATCTCTTGTCCTGACCAAATTTGACCACAAGTGACGCTGATCGTGGTAATCTGGCTTTTGGTCAGCAGTGGAGGCACTGTTCTGTCGTAGACACCACGTTATCGGTTTGGGTTTGATTGATGCAATCATATCATCGAGTCCATCCCATTGGCGCATCCCGTCCAGCTCGCCGCCTCACAGATATGCACACTCGCACACACAGACAGTGACAGGAAAAATAGTCAGTCAGACAGACACACGCAGCTGCAGCACACACAGGTGCTGCAACCAGCTCCCTCTCTCAATCAGTGGCTCGTCCATTCATCGCTGCACACAGGCAACGCATCCGTGTAGCAAGGCAAACGCCCCCTCAGTCCCGCTAAGTTACGCAGTCACATCTCGCCACCCCTCAATTGTCTCCATCCCTCTCGTCAAACACAGTCGTAGACAGCCAGACAGACAGGCGCCCTCGGCTGGCCGCCTGGTCATCTGTCTGCTCTCACAGTGAGTGGTCGATGACCATCATGTCCGCCTCCTCGTCCACCTCCATCATGTGCTCGTCGTCCGTAGGGGGCGACCCCAACGAGGCCATTGATGAGTTGGTGGCCGTGGGGGTGATGTGTGTGGGCTGGGGGAGGGGGAGGGGGGCGGGGACGGTGGGGGTGGGGATAGTGTGTGGCGGGGGGAAGCCCCAGTCGATGTACGCCTTGACGACGGGCTGCAGCGCCGCGTCGTGGGTGAAGTAGGGATGCATGGAGAGCTCCTCAGCTGTGTGGCGTGACCCCGGGAGACACACCATCCTGAGGGCAAACAAACGCATAACAGACACACAGTGAGCTGAATGCACATGGGACACCTCTCTGTGTCTGCCTCCGTCTTACTTGGAGAGCACGTCGAGAAGGCCCTCATCCCCCACCCCCCATCGCCGCAGCTTGGCCTTTATGCCGTCCGCACTGCTGACCTCGATATCGCTAAACAGGCCCTGAGGGAATCCCATCGCCGCCGCCTCCTCGTTGCCCGGCCGTCCAGTGAACGTGAAGAGCTGCCGTGACAGCTGCGCCACGCCCTGCTTGGTGACTCTGGCGAGAGGGAAGAGGTCCTTGGCGGCGTTCTTGCCCGTGGCCACCTCGACGGCCACGACGCCGGCCTGGAAGATGTCTCCCTTCCTCTCGTCATACCTCTGGAACATGGGTGAGCCTGAATGGAGGCATCCACACATCAAGGACAGACAGACACAGAGGGATAAGGCATTGTCCATAGGGCATTGTCCCTTTCTCGCCTCTCTGTGATATCCTGGCTGGCTGAGTGGATACCCTTGGGGTCGCTGTGTGCCGCGTACGGCCAGGTCATCTCGGGCGTGAAGTAGCCCGGAGTGCCCCTCGCCCCCTGAAGCCCCCGCTCACTCTCGGCGGCCCCCATCGCCTGCTGCGTCTTGGCATGGACACTGAGGCCGAAGTCGATGGCGTTCAGCAGCGGCAGCCCCTCGATCTTTCTGCAGACCACCAGGTTCTCCGAAGAGATGTCGCCGTGGGCGATGTCATTCTGGTGCAGGAAGGCCAGCATGCGGAGCAGCTCGTAGAGCACCGCCTTGGCCTCAAAGGCCGATACCTTCGAGCACCGCCCCAGCGACTGAGCCCCCTCCAGCAGTTCGAGCAGCAGCCACTGGTCCCCGTGCCAAGTGCTCTTGCTAGCCATGTGGTGGCCATATCGTCTGACGACGTTGGGGTGCCAGGCGCGGCGGTAAAAGCCGGGGGGTATGCCGCTGGCGATGGTCTTGGTCTCCGCGATGGACTGCAGAAGATCGAAGGCCAGCATCTCGTTGTTGTTAGATGGGTGGACGGTGCTGCCCGCCGCCTCATCCGGCCGCTGAGGGTCGTAGATTTTGAGTGCGAAGGAACGGCTCGGGTCCGTGTAGGCTTTATCCTTGGCCTTGAACACAGTGGAATGGCTGCCCGTGCCCAGCGGCCTCGCAGCGATGTCAAATCGCCCAGATGCAAGGGCGTTGTGGCCTTTGAAGGCCATCGCAGGGCGGTTTGTGATGGCCGGCGGGCGTCGCCGGGTGTGGCTGAAGAAGGCTGAGGGACGGCAGGTGAGTGCTGATAGGTTAACGAAGAGCAAAACTCGGAAACAGATGACAGTAGAGCTGAAAAGAGGGGGGCGACAGAACACGCTTGCATGCATGCACTGACCAGCGCTGGTCGTGGGGGCGGGGAAAAAGACGAAGAGCTGCCGTCTCACGTCTTGGACCCGCCCCGTTTGTTGTGCGGTGATCAGATATCTGCTTGCAGCCTTGCCATTTGCAATGAGTGCCTCCCTCTTCCGTGCGGGCTTTTGGGTTTCGTTGCTCTCCCTCTTGACAACCACCTCCGGAGGACCGACAAAAGAACGGTGAGCGCAAAGGTTATATGCTGTATGGTTCTTCCCATTTGACCGGGAGTTGCATGACGAGTGCTTTTGTGTCAGGCACCAGAGTCAGGCAATGAAGTTCTTGGGCCTTCTGCTGTGCGTCGCCTTCCCTGTTGTGCGCTGCCATGACATCTCGGCAGGCACGCCAGCTGGCTTCTTGCACACGCATGGGCCCATTAATGGATCTCCGTTGAAGCGCCGCATTACGTCGCTCCAAGGCCGAAACAATAAAGTGGACCCCGACGAGTGAGTTACGCACATCAAAGACGAGCGGCCCAGCCGTCCCTTCATTGTCTGATTATGCATGAATGTAATGTGTGCACGTCCACGCAGAGAGCTCCTCTTCATCACCAACCACCGAATGAACGTGCCTGATGGTGAGGAATCGGTCGGGCAAGCCGCATCACAGCCCACTTCCGTCAGCTTCGACGAGAAGAATAACGACGCCTCAGGAAACGTCCACTTTTGCGAGAGCGGCACCGACGATGAACACAAGGAGATCTTCTCTGAGAAATTCCTGGCGCGTCTGCGCAACAGCAAGGCCGAGACCATCCTGTTCTCCATCCATGGCTTCAACGTGCAGCCCACAGATGCGCTCGACGAGACGGCCAAGATCCAAGCGCAGTTCAACACGATGGCTGCTGAGAGAGGGGACGACGCCGGCAGGGTGAAGGTGGTGGGTCTCATCTGGCCATGCGGCGACAAGATCGGCATCATCCGGGACTATTGGGATGACCGCCGGCGAGCATATGCGTCCGTGTGTGGATTCGAGCGAGTGCTTGCGAAGGTGCTGCGAGCCGACGAGCGAATGCTCACCAACCAGCTGCCCGACCCGGAGACCGACCTGCTCATGCAGAAGAACGTGAGCATCATGGCACATTCTATGGGCAACCGCGTGCTGTGGCAGACGCTCATTCGTGCGGACGAGATGTATCCCATAGAAGGCATATTCCGCGATATCTTCATGGTGGCCGCCGATGTGCCCAACAACGTGCTCGACGAGCCGTCGTCCATCTGCATGGCAGCGGACCGTGTGTCTGTGTATGTGTTGTGTTGCACATGTGTGTATATGTATCTCTCTCTGTGTCCATGTGTGTGTGTGTGTGTGTGTGTATCAGATACTACGCGTCTGATGACCTCCCTCTGACGTACAGTCTCGGCCGTATCCCCAGCGGGTGGCGCCAGCGGATAGGCCGGCTGGGGCCAGCGAAAATGGACAGAGTGCACAAGAACGTGTGGGAGATCGACTGCAGCCGGTTCAACAACAAACTGGGCGGCCGGCTTTATGGCCACGGCTACCACACGCCGCAGGTCCGCCTGGACGACCAGGACTACCCCAACCCCGTGCTGCGCCATGCGTGGCAGACGATGATCGATCGCCAAGTGGATACGATGGGGAAACCAGAGGAGGCGCGAAGCCTCGTGCTCAGCCTGCTGTACAGCCAAAAGAAGGCTGGCCAGCAGCAGTTTGAAAGAGGGTCATGACATGAGCAGCTTTTGCTGTACGTACCATCTTCCCGTTTTTGCTGTACTGCCTGCTTGCTGGTATTTCTGTCTCTCTGCTGGATGGCTGTCTACATTGATGTGACAGACACACGGTATGTAAGCTGTGCCAATCATACACACACGAACACCCAAACCCCACACACCTTTCTTTTCCGCAGTCAGAAGGTGTCTGTCACGTTTTGTTTGTCTTCGCACTTTGACATCTGGGGGCAGGGATTGGCGGGGGGCGAAGAGTTGTTCAAGAGGGAGGATGCGGTGAGTGAGTGATGGAGGAGCGGATAGTGCCGTCTCTTCGTAGTGAGTGCATTTGGACCGTCTTTTGGTGCATTGTGTCATTGCTGCATTCAGACAGATACGTGAAAGCTCTCTACAGCACAAAACAGAGCTATTCCAGCTCATTGACGACGCCCCATACACAACCGACACACGAGTCATCTTTAGCCGTCGTGGCGAGTCTGCGTCTCACGCCACCATACAGGTGAGCATTCCCCGTGAACGGCATCTCATCCGACGCACAACGCAACATCATCCCACGCACCAAACTACTCACCTGCACCGACCATGCGTCTCCTTCACCGGCCCACTGACGTATTTCTTATTGAGCTCTTTCCTGCCCATCCGCCTTATTTCGGCCATCCGAGGTCCACGCAGATCGCACATTGGCCGGCACGTGTGCCATGGCAGGCGCACACCGGCCTATCGTCACTGCAAAATCCGTAGCGTTCGAGTGTCTCGAATAGCAGCACCGCGTCTTCTATGGCGCTGTTCGCAGCCTGCACAAACACACACAGGGGCGCGGGGACGCCGCACACAGCTTGTGAACATTGGGCAGTCGCGTGAATGCTGACCATCCTTGGCGTATGAGGGCGGCTGTACCAGATGAGCAGGGAGGTCATACCAGCGACATAATGATTGATGACTCAGTCAGTGCGTATCGTCCCCGCCATGCATTGCAAGCAAAACAAGAAAGAGTCTTGCAAGTGAGTGCAGAAGAGCGACAAACAAAATGGCCATCCATTCATCTCTCTCTCCCGAAACACGGCGCACCCCTGTACGTATCAACAAAGAAGGTGTCCGTGCCTTCAAGAAGGTGTCCGTGCCTTCTTTGCAGCATCCATCCATCCATCCATCCACGCACCGTCACCCTCCTCTCCTCAACTCCTCTCCCCCAGCCGGCTCTCCCGCATTATCGGCACTAGGCGTCATAGCGAATGGCTTTGCCGAGAGAGGAAGCGGCGGGAGGTTCCCAGGGACAGGCCGCATCACACGGACAGCTTGCAGCCACTCCTTCTCAGCACTGCATGAGCAAACACACGGATGTTGCTGGACGCTCGGACAAGACGCGAGTGTCGGCTAGCTCACCTTGGCAGCAGCTCATCCAGAAAGCCATCCGTCTCCTTGGCCCTGACGAACCGCACCTTGGCTGCCGTGTTGCGGTCCAGTAAAGGCGACACGACGGACCACAACGCCTGGAAAACAGTCGGCGGGTCGAGCAGGACAAGCAGCCCAAGCCGCTCTGGGAAATGGTTGCTGAATGTGCTTACGCAATCCTGAATCCAATACAGTACATGCATTGATTGATTGGCCTCGATGACCATCCCGTGCTTTTACTCCCTCCCCTCCTCACTCACCTTTGCCAGCTGGACGTTCACGGCATGCGACAGCCCGAAGCCGTTGAAGTCCACACACCACACCCACTGCGGCGCTGTGTCGGGCACCGTGAATGCCCGGTCCAGGGTGCAGATGACGTGATGCAGCTGCGATGGCGCGTCCGTCATCGCAGCACTGACAGATATGCACGAGGGAGGGCAACACACACACAATCAGCGCACCCAGTGAGTCAGTCAGTTGGTCGCGTGATGCCTATGCCTACCGAGGAGAGTTCCCATACAATACAGGCCGGTTCTTTCGACATCCACCGATGATAAGGAAGCAGTGCGACTGCAGGCAGCACACACACACACACATAACATACGGCAATAGCACAACAGACACAGCGGGGCATCAGCATAGCGGGGCATCAGCGGAAGTCCTCAGTGTCGCTGTCAGCCAGCTGGGATGATAAGAGTTCTCACCCACCTTTGGATCTGCCACACACGGCTCACACACCATCTTGTGCTCATCCATCCTCTCTTTCCGAAACGTCAGGTGCTTTCTGTACATCGTCGCTGCCTTGCTCACGTCCCATCTGCACAGACAGACACCAGCACCCATCATCATGGCATTGCACACCACGAGCACGTTGCATTCCTAGTCTGTTTTGTACCCCCTTGCGCGCAGGAAGCGCACTGCCGTCTCATCGTCGACAGCCTCCCCAACTTCAAGAGCGAAAGAGTCAACTGCTGTGCGGATTGCATCGTCGCCAGAGCTCAGCTTTCCGAGTGATTCATTCAAACTTTCCTTGCTGGGCGCCACCAGCCCGACTGGTCCTGCTCCAGCAGCACTGCCATCTTCCTTGGTCGCCATGATTCTTTCCTCGACCCATCTGCAAGCTTAGAGCTTAGCCTGGAGGGATTCTTCATGCTTCAGGAGAATGCTTCTTATCTGAGCCACTCGCTGCTTGCGCTGGTGGACGTTCCTCTCCTCAGCTGACGGCGTACTTCTCACCGCAGATTGGCCGCAGATGGGAGCTGCCCGCTCGCAGGCTGGCTTACAGGAGACCCGAATAGCCTCTCTCATCGCCCTCTCTTCCATCTGGTGCTCGGCTGCAGTCCACGGCCCGCCCACATTCATCGCGCCTACTGCAACTAAGTTCGGCCACACGCCACGCGCCTCACACCACCGCCCACGGCCAGCAGACACCGTCGCCATGCCCACGGTGACCGCGCAAATAGAGCGGTCGCATGTTGAGAGGCTCTCCGAGACGGTGCAGAAGCGTCTGGCTGCGGGGAGGAGCAGTGCGGAGGAAGGGCTGCGCGTGGAGGATGTGGCTGGCTTGGAGGGCCGGCTGTCTGCGGATGAGTGGCAGTGTCTGCACTTCTTGGTGCAGTTCATGCCGCAGGTCGACGTGGCGCGGCTGTCTCTCGGCTACCTGATGGAGCATGTGCAGTACTCTCTCAAGGCTCGGGAGGAGTTCCCCTGGGCCAAGGAGGTGCCGTGGGAGGTCTTCCTCAATGACGTCCTGCCCTACGCATACTTTGACGAGCCGGTGAGCAACCGACCCGACCACCATTCCCACACACACGTATACACAGGCACCACCTTACTTCCCTCTGTGTGTGTGTGTGTCGGTCATTCGTGGGTGAGTGGATTTGGTGCAGCGAGAGTCGTGGCGGCCGGTGCTCTACTCTCACGCCAGCAAGGTGCTGTCCGTCCACCCCCCCAGCCCTTCCTCCCTCCGGGCGGCAGCCCAGCTGCTCAACGAGTACATCTGGTCGACATGGGAGCCCCCGATAGTGTTTGTAGCGGACAGGACGCCGGCCGTCATGAGCCCTCTGGACGTGATAGAGGCCCGGAACGCCTCGTGCACCGGCCTGTCGATACTCATAGCATCTGCGTGCAGGAGTGTGGGCATTCCTGCGAGAGTGGCAGGTGGGTGTCCAGGACGTCTGTGTATTGTCATGGTGCAATCAATGCATGTGTTGTTTGTGTGTGGGTGTTGTCTGCCTTCCAATCTGGCTGGCTGGCGGTGTAGGAATTCCGATATGGAACACCCCTGCGGGCGGCAACCACAACTGGCTCGAGATATGGGCGGACGGACAGTGGCAATTCACAGGTAGGTCGAGCCGAGCCCACATATCCCCACCCACCCACCCCTCAGGTTTGTCTGCATTGGTTGGTTGTATGCGGTTGTCTTATCCGTCCGTCTGTCTGTCTGTCTGTCTGGCTCTCAGGTGCCCACGAGTACACCCCCAAGGGCCTCGACCGGGGTTGGTTCTTTCCTTACCCCATCAGCACGTCGCAACCGGGCGCAGGCAACCACTCCATCTACGCCACCACATTCAAGCCGGGCGGGCAGGGACACGACGCCTCGGCCGTGTTCCCTGTGTCGTGGGACTGGTCGGTGACGTACGTGCATGGTGTGGAGCGCACCAAGTGGTACCTCTCACTGTGTCCGAAAGAGGTGGTGAGCGGGGAGGGGGAGGTCATGGCTGAAGGGAGCCGTAATGATGGTGGTGGGGCGGCTGAGGTGGTTGAGAGGTAGAGTCGTGTGGGTATATGCTCTGCTTGCCTCGGGACAGGCACGGGGGCTTTTTTCTGGTGTGTGAACAGAAGCATTGGATGTATGTGGGTGGATACGATGGGTGGACCGGATGTGTGACGTCTTAATTCGTTACTGCGGCTGGGTTGAGAGGACCCGTCTCAGTGTTAATCATTTGTATGTTTGTGCGTCAGTCAATCTGCGTTATTCTGGTGTGATTGACCAGTTGATTAATCCAATCCGTGCGTCCCACCCACCACCAGTGTCACCATGCATCCTCGATGGCATCGACTGCGATGCGATGAAGACCCCCAGACACACAGACGTGCACCCAGCGGCCCATGCAAGCAACACGTTTGTTGCCTCGCAGTGTCACCATCCATCCGACTGACTGACTGCATTGACTGATTGCGAGAAATATACGCAGAGAGAAATACAGTACAATCACACGTTCCACACAGTCGTGTGTCGCAGGCACCATGCCCCACGACCAGTGCCTGCCTGCCTTGCCGAACTGAACGCTCTGCCAAAAACCGAAAAGGACCATTCGCCCTCCCTTGCTCCCTCCCTCCCTGGCTGTCCCTTCCTTCCCTTCATAAACTTAGCGCCCGCCCCCCCGCCCGCCCCGCCCTCCCCCTGTCTGCCGACGAGCTTGGCACACAGGGGGACAGCGGAGCTGCTCATGTGCGGTGGGGACGAGGCTCATTCATGCAGTAGAGATAGGCACTGACTGCACAGGTGAGATGCACAGACGGAGAGACGGACAACACGTACTGCACAGAACGGGAAAAACACATGATGGACATGAAAAACAGAGAGCTCGGTGAGTGCTGTCCGTCTGTCTGTCTGTCTCTCTGTCTGTCTGTTAATTCCAGCTGCCGACCTACCGATTGGTCAACCAGCCACGCACGACAAATACCCTCACACCCACAGTCACGCCACGCACAGGAGGAGAGAAAGGTAGGCAGAGAGAGAGAGGGGCCAGAAACAGAGCGACCAATGGATGGAGACACACGGCACGAACAAGTGGGAAACCCCAGTGTGCCCCCGAGTGTGCCCTCGCATCACTGACTGCTGTCGGTCACTGGCTGGCCCTCTCCCTCCCCTCCCCCTCCCCCCCACCACACGGACAGCACAACAGGGCAGGGGATTGCGCACATCGTGTTGTTTAGTTAGTCAGACACGCAACGAGACAGTTCACCACCGACGCCCTCGGCTGGCTAAGTGTGTCTCACACTCAATGGTGGCCGTACTTGCCATACTTGTGGTAGTGGTGGTAGCCGTAGTAGGGGTAATAATAGCCGTAGTGGTAAGGGTAGTAGTAGCTGTGACCATAATGCTTCTTGTGGCCGAGCTCACGGCCGGGTGCGTCGGCAGTGTCAGCAGCCTCCTGAGGCGCATCAGCACCTGACAACACACCACAACACACCACAACACACCACAACACACCACAACACACCACAACACACCACAACACACCACAACACACCACACAACAAAGGTGACATGACACGAGCTAAGCCCAGCCCCAGCATCTGTGATGGTCACGTCACTCACCCTGCGGAGCTCTCAGGCGGCGGTAGTGGCCGTGCTTCTTGCCATAATGCTTGTAGTGGTGGTAGCCGTAGTAGGGGTAGTAATAGCCGTAGTGGTAAGGGTAGTAATAGCCGTGATGCCCGTAATGCTTGTGGCCGAGCTGACGGTCGGGGGCCTCTGCTGACATGAGCACACCGACACCACACACCGAGGCAGGAATGTGTGTGTTGTGGGTGCGTGCGTGTGTGTGTGTGTAGTGGGCCTCTGATCGTACCTTCGTTGTCTTCTGCGGTCTCTGCTGCTTTCAGGCTGCGGTGGTGGCCGTATTTCTTGCCATAATACTTGTAGTGGTGGTAGCCGTAGTAGGGATAATAGTAGCCGTAGTGGTAAGGCCTGTAGTAGCTGTGATACCCGTACTTGTGGCCGAGCTGACGGCGGGCACCTGAGACACACCCAGAGACACACAGACAGACAGACAGACAGACAGACAGAGCACGAGAGTGAGCGACACAAGCAGGCATCTACACGACACGTGCCACCAACGCACCTTCATCTTCCTCTTCGTCGTCAGGAGGAGGCATCTCCAGAAGACCCTCAGGAGGGGGAGGAGGCACCTCCTCCTCGACCTCAGGCTCCTCTGGGTCAGCGGCTGCCGGGTCGTCGTCTGTCGTCACAGGGGTTGCATCAGCAGGCTCGGCCACAGCAGGGTCGGCCACAGCAGGCTGAGTCTCAGCAGCCGGAGGCTCAGGGCCGGTTGCAGCCGCGAAGGCCAGGCAGGCGAAGAGGGCGAGGACCGTGAAGGTGCGACGCATCTTGATCTTGATGGCTGGGTAGGTGGCTGGCTGCACAAGAGATATAAGGGACCAAGGGCTGACAAAGGAAGAAAGAGCTGCCGAGGGACGAGAGAAGCTGGATGGAGTTGCGGCTTGATTCGAGGTGGCAAAGGCTGTCTGCGGAAGACACCGTGACGTGGAAGACGAGAGGGAGTCGAGATAGCTCTCGAGAGCAGCTAACGAATCCGCACCGCTCGCCGATCCGCGGCCGGTAACGAGCCAGTTAACCAGCTGCCGTTTTGGATCGCAGCACAGCGCCGTTGCTGCTGCCAGGGAGGATCAGCGGTTTGATTTGGTGGTGTTTGACTCATCGAAATTGCTAAGCTCGCAAAGAAAGCTCGCACTCCCCGAGAGCAAACCGAAGAGAAGAAGGCACTGCAGATGCTGCCCGAATGCGCATGAAGGCCTGCTGCAGTGGATCTCTCGCTTGACGGCCTGATTCAGCCGACAGCAATGCATCTGTCGTCATCGTTTCTCTTTCCCCTGCTGTCCGTCGCCTCATCCCCTCTCCCACTTTTCCTGTCACGACCGCGGATCAGCCGCATCCACCCGAGGCGGCCGACAGCCACGCGAAGGCAGCTCGATGACTCATCACAAGGCACCCCTGTGGCAGCCGTCGCAGAGCCGCCAGCTAAAGCAGCGGCAGCTGTGCAGACACACAGCATCAACGGCGATGAGTCGTCAGCTGTCAGCTCCTCTCCGCCTCCAGCTCCCTCACCCTCCCTCCCCACCCGTCAAGTTGCGGCGTCAAGTTTTGGCGGTCGGCGGCGGCTTGCGAGCATCCTGCTGTCGCCTGATGGAGGCGAGAAGGAGATCGGCAGCACCGTCGCTGTGGCCGGCTGGTCGCGGACTATCCGTGAGGCTGGCGGGGGCAAGTTCGCCTTTGTGGAGCTGAATGACGGCTCCACTCTGAAAGGGCTGCAAGTGGTGGTGGATGGGTCGGTCGACGGCTTCGACAGGCTGGTCAAGTGCGGCACGGGCAGCGCTCTCCGCTTCGAAGGAGAGCTGGTGGCGTCCAAGGGCCGTGAGCAGAAGGTGGAGCTGCAGGCAACAAGCATCACGATTTACTCGTCCACTGAGGGAAAGGACTACCCCCTGGCCAAGAAAAGGCACTCTCGCGAGTACCTACGGACCATCAGCCACTTGAGGCCGCGGACCAACCTGATGGGGGCCGTCACGAGGGTCCGCTCGGCCATGGCGGAGGCCACACACAACTTCTTCCAGGTGAGCTGAGCTGGTTGCCATGGGCTGGCTGAAATGCTGGGTGTGTTGTGTGATCATGTGAGTGTTGGCCTTTCCTTTCAGTCACGTGGTTTTCTGTACATCCACACGCCCATCATCACCTGCTCTGATTGCGAGGGGGCAGGAGAGATGTTCCAGGTCGGTCAGACCCATGCACCAAACTCGCACTTCATGCGCCACTGCGTCTGTCTGCGGATGCATGGGTGCAGGTGACAACTCTCTTGCCGGGAGACCTCTCCCGTGACCGTTCCCTCCCTTTGACCAAGAACGGATCGGTTGACTACTCGAAGGACTTCTTCCAAAAGGCGGCCTACCTGACGGTGTCAGGCCAGCTGGCTGTCGAGAACTACTGCTGTGCCGTCGGCGACTGCTACACATTCGGGCCAACATTCCGGGCGGAAAACTCCAATGTCAGCGAACAAAGGGAGCCGCACGTGCTGAGGGATGGGTGGGTGGACGTGTGTGTCTGTCTGTCTTTGCGCATGGGTGTGGGGTGTCAGACCGCTCGGCATTTGGCCGAGTTTTGGATGATCGAGCCGGAGATGGCCTTTGCGGAGCTGTCGGATACGATGACGTGTGCCGAGGAGTATCTGGCCTACTGTGTGCGGTGGGCGCTGGAGCACTGCGGGAATGACCTGGAGTTCTTCAATCAGTGGTCAGCACACACGCACACTAACGCGACTGAGGAATCTCTCGCCTCGATTGGCTTGTCGGTGTGTTGTCTGCAGGGTGGATAAGTCGCTGCTCGAAAGGCTGGAACAGCTCGTAAGCATGCAGATGAAAACAACGGCACACACTGACACTGAAGTGTGTTGTGTCCACCCATCTGTGGCTTCCTTCCATCTGGTGCAGGTGGAAGGCGGCTACAGGCGGGTCTCATACACGGAAGCCATCGACCTCTTGCAGAAGGAGGTAGGGTAGAGCCACAACACCCACCACACACCACACACATGCAGATGCACCCACACTCTCCCCTGCCCTCTCAGGTGTCATCTGGGAGTGTCTCATTCGACGTGTCGCCCGACTGGGGCATCGACCTCGGCACGGAGCACGAAAGGCACCTCACTGAGAAGGTCTTCGGCAAGCCCGTCACCGTGTACAATTATCCCAAGGAGATCAAGGCGTTTTACATGCGTCTGAATGACGACGACCGGACGGTCGCCGCCATGGACGTACTCCTGCCCAAAATCGGAGAGGTCATCGGCGGATCGCAGAGGGAGGAACGACTCGACGTTCTGGACAGGTACACATTGATGGACCACATGAGCCTGACTGGCTCAAGAGTCCGCCGTCTCTGTTGTTTGGTGTCTTGCAGGAGGTTAGAGGAGTGCGGCCTTGACAAGGACACCTACTGGTGGTACGCCACCGACGCACACATACTCACTCCCTCCTTCCATCGTTACTACATCTCGTCTTGTCTGCACCACCTTGTCACTCAGGTACCGGGATTTGCGTCGCTACGGCAGCATTCCGCACAGCGGCTTTGGGCTGGGCTTCGAGAGGCTGCTCATGCTCGTGACAGGGGTCGACAACATACGAGACGTCATCCCCTTTCCAAGGCATCCAGGACACGCCGAGATGTGACCAGGCGGACAGTCAGATGTGCACACATACAGGTCGTTTTTGACCTTTTGATGAGTGCAGTGCTATGCTATCGGTGTGCAAATGAAGCGACAGACAAGTGCCTGGTTGTGTCTGTTCCCTCGCAAAGCGAATTGAATTGTACAGCCACAGACGAGACTGCATGAGTCATGGGTGAATTGCGCTAGAGACAGCCAGTAGATCGCTGACTTATTCCTATTCCTGCTTGTTGTAACCTTTATTCCTGCCACTCTCGTTCGCATCGAAGTGCTGCCTGTGTTGCCAGATCTAGGGAGCATGTCGTCTGTGAGCAGCCCGTAAGGACGACACACACGCGCACACATCTTTCTTCATCCACGATGTCCGTTGTTGTTGTGCTTTCTGCTTCTACCCACAGGTCTGGTGTTTCGAGCATCGGTCAGGGTGACAACAATGGCGCGAAGCGTGCCATCTTGGAGAAAGTCCGCAAGGAGAAAGAGGCACTCATGAACCCCATGCTGCAGCGGGCCTTGACGTAGTCAACTGCACATACACTAAGTGAGGCACATCCATTGAATGCACGGCCTCTCTCTCTCTCTGTGTGTGTGTGTGTGTGTCTGTGTCTGTGTGCAGCTTCTCTCAGAGCAGCTCTACTCATCTACGGGCCGCTTCGCCATCGAGCTCATCCAGAACGCCGAGGACAATGCTTATGACGCATCATGTGTGCCCACGCTCATCTTCTACCTCAACACCGACCCTTCCGACCCCTCCCTGCTGGTCTACAACAACGAAAAAGGCATGACCGAGGCCAACGTCCAGTCGCTCTGCGACGTCAACTTGTCTACCAAGAAGGCATACAGAAGCGAAGAGGGCACTATAGGCGAGAAGGGAATCGGTACGCTGATGCAACGGCGCAACAGTCGCGGAAATGCAAACATCTACCTGACTGATGAGTGCAGGTTTCAAGTCAGTGTTTCGAGCCGCTGACGCTCCGGAGATCTTCAGCGGTGGATTCCGGTTCTCCCTCTCGAAGGAGACCTTCGTCATACCCCAGTAAGCAGGGTGACAAGACAGGCGGACCAAGAACCATCATCATCCTTCTTCCCTTCCCCCAGGTGGATTGAGTGCCCACATCCATCGGTCATTCGTTTCGCCTTTTGGGTGGGGGACAAGCCCAACGAGACGGTCCTCCGTCTGCCGCTCTCAGTCGACCCCCAGAGAGTCAAGGACGACCTCCTGTCCATCTCGCCCCGCATCCTCTTGTTTCTGGACAAGCTCAAGTGTATCGAGGTCCAGGTCGTCGAGAAGATTGGGGGGGCGTTGACGGCCAGCAGGAAGCTCGAGTGCGTCGAGTCGCACCACGTAAGGGCAACGAAACACGTTCAGACCTCTATTTCTGCATTGTCCCGCTTGTCTTGCAGCAATTCGGCATCGTGCGGGAGCTGACAGGCACTGGCGGCGTGCACGAATCATTCTTCATCCACCAGGGCACGTACAACGTCCCGGAGGTCAGCAGCACTAAGGAAAATCGTCGTGCAGTGCTGCCTTGCTCGCATGTGGTCTCCCTTAATGTAGGATGCCGCACAGCGCAGCACGAGCAAAGTGGACAAGACGACCATCGCCCTTGCCTTTTCATCGAGGCCAGATGCCAAGTCGGACCGACGGCTGCCGACCGTCTTCGTGGGCCTGCCGACAACTCAGCAGAGTGGATTGCCTTTCATCATCAACTCAAGAGACTTCGTCGCCACTGCAAGGTGAGAGGAGAGCACAGGCAGAGTGGAGCGACATTGCACCGTGGCCATCTGCGTGTCGTGTCGTGTAGTCGGGAGAGTTTGGACTTCACCGACGCCTTCAATCGCTTCGTGCTGGAGAAGGTCCCCGAGCTGTGCCTCAAGTTCTTCGAACACTGCGTCAACAACATCAAGTAGGAGCCGAGTAAGACGCAACAAATCAGCGCACGGACGCATCCACCTGTTTGCCTCTTTTGTCAGGTCTGAGGACGACTTGAAGTTGGTACTGATGTGGCTGCCGTTCTCGAGCAAGGATGTCCAGGAGGAGTTCCTCGTTTATGCCAAAGAGATCATGAATGGTGCCAAGTCACTTCCCATCCTCCCATCACACACGTCCCCTCTGCCCCCTTCCATGCCGTCCGCTCTGCACACGCTGCCGCTGCCGTCCATGCCGTCCAAGGCAGCCCTCTTCCGCGCCATCAGACACGTTCAGCTTGTACACCCTGGCTTCACGCTTGAGCCGGAGCTGCTTGAGGCCCTTGGTGTGGTCAAAGTGCCACTGCAACTGCTGTTCGACGCCAAGGGGTGGGGCGCCACGGGCGGGCGGGGCATATCGTCACTCGAGGGCCTCTCTGACGATGAGATCGCGCAAGTGTACATCTATCTGGAGGATCTTGTGGGAGCGGGGGCGATGCGTTTTCTCGAAGATATGCCAACCATCAAGACGTCCGTCGGTGAGCCAGTGGACAACACAGATGAGGTGACAATTGGTCGGTCTCGAGTATGGTTTCCTGGCTGCTGCAGGCTTCTGCGTTCCGTACGAGGCTCGCCCTGGCCGCAAGCGTGTCTGTTTCTCCCATCAATTCACCCAGATTGAAGACAAACGTATTGCCGAGACGGTGAGGGCAGCTTTCACTCCTCCTAATCCATGTGCTGGATGACGTGGAAATCGCTGGCTGATGCAGGTGTCGTGCTACTTCGTGTGCGAGGAGGTGGCGAAGCGGCTCACCTACAAGTCGCGTCAGTGGCTCATCAAGCATCTGGGTGAGGACCTGCAAGCCTTCGAGATGTACGTGTGCATATGAGGACGTTTCCGTGTCATGCAGGTGTCCAAGAGATGAATCTGGACAACTACGCAAAGTACATTCCAATATCTTCAGGTATACGTGATGCACTTGTATTCCTTTGCAGGTGGTTGGTGGATGCCTGCGAGGCAGACGCTCTCAGGTCACCCACAGACCAGAACGCCATCAAGTGAGCGAGCAAAGATGAAAGCCCAAAGCCCATATTATGCACAGCTCGTCACGCCGTCCTTCTACAGATCGCTTATGGCTGTCACTGAGTTCCTTGCCAGCAACCTGCCAAAAGACCGCTTCCCATCTCTTCCCGTTCTCGTCCACGATGCGTCAATCGCGCAGCCCGACAAGAAGATCGTCTCACCAAGTCGCTCGGGGCCCATATGTCTCTCTCTTAACACTTCGCTCGAGACCGTCTTTCCCCTACCTAGTGACAAGAAGGGGCTCTTCATCCTCAGCAGCGACTACGACGAGGAGCTGACGTGTTTCGTCCGCAAAATCCACCCATTGACCATTCGGGTGTGTCCACCTGTGGATGGGGCGCTGAGCTGGATGGGGCCAGAGCCAGCTGTCGTTGGCGCGAAGGAGGTAGAGAGGGTGCGGTGCTTCCTCCAGGTCCTCGCCCATCATCGGCTCTAGTAAGACACACACACGCACACGAACGGGACATATACGGGACATGCTCGTGATGTCCTGGCGTCAACCTTCCAGTGGAGGCCACTTCGCGTCCTTTGGCCGCTTCGCTCCGTTTGCGGAGCCTATCATGACATCCCGCTGGTTGCCGGCCGTTCTCCATGACGGCTCCACCTGTGTCTGTCGACCTAACGAGGTCAGAGCACACAAATGAATGAATGCCCTTCCTATCATCCGCTTATGTGCCCACCTTCTTGTGTCTGCCTCCAGGTTTGGTTTGTCGACATCGACCTCCCCCCTCTGTTGAGCCTTCCCAAGCTCCATGATGGCGTCCTCGGCGGTGAAGGCCTCTTTCCTCATTCGCCTCTCAGCATCGGCGGCAATACAGATCCCATCGCTGGAGTCCTCAGCTGTTTGGGAGTGCACCTCACTGTCGCTGTCGAGCCCATCCTGATCCGCTTCAAGCAGCTGGCACCGACACTTCAGCGGACACAAGTGACCAAAGACGTCATGCGTCAGCTGAGTGAGGTGTACTCGTTGATGAGCAACTTGATGGATGAGGAGATGACGATGGGCATGGCCGCAGCCAGCGGGCGGTACTTGAGCGGGCGGACGCTGATGAGAAAGGCGATGCAGGATGAGGGGCTCAACCTGTTTGCGATGCCCTGGAAAGGCTCGACATATGCCACATGGATGAGGTCTGCCGCCACAACGCACAGCACAGCACAACACGGCTATCGCTGTGCGTCACTGCGTCTCGTTGTCAGCCTGTCGCCCGAGACGCTTGTGTGGCGTGATCCCACTGGGTTCTTCGTGGGTGAGGAGAGTGTGGTCCGCGTTCTCTCTGACTGCATCGATCCTGAGTTCCGAGAGCTGCTCAAGCCATTCCTGAAACAAGTAGACTGCAAAACAAACGTCAATACGTCAATTCATGGCATTCTCTTTTGCTCTTGTGCCCAGTTGGTCCCTCGAGAGCCAGAGGCTTCCCACTATGAACTCCTGTGAGCAGAAATGAATCAGGGGCCACACACCAGACACCGTCTTGGTCTTTCCCCCGGTGCTGCAGGTGGCGGAAACAGTGTCCGAACCTGACCAGCGGCAACGCCAAGAAGAGCGTCGAGGTACATCACTCGCAGATCTATTCGATCTAAAAGAGCAAGGGAGCACTCTCTCTGTCACGTGTGCAGGACTTCATTGTCACAGCCATTGATACACTTCAGCAGAGGGCCCACCAGCTCAGCTTGCGGCAGCTCTCTGTCTGGGACTCCAACCAGAGGCGCTTCTTCCCGCCGGAACAAATATTCATCCACGACACACACACAGACGGGTAGTCAGAGAGCCTCTCACACGACGTTGAGTAGGGTCGGTGAATGCGCGCCGAGCCACTGCATTTTGCCTTTGTCATAATTCTGCTGTGGCAGGTTGCCCGTGGGCTCGTCTGCAGCGGACATGCCGATCGCGTACGCGCCATACCCGATGATGCAAGACTTCCTTGAGACCCACCTGGGAGTGAGACGACTATCCAAGTTGTAAGGACGACGTGTACTACCTCAGCAGCCACTGATGGCGCCCTGCTCCTTGTTTGCTACAGCGCTGAGATCACGTACTCTATCGGAGATGAGGTCCCACAAGCCGCCAAGCGTCTCAGCCCATTCTTTGGAGAAGCCCTTCTGCACGTGTGCAAGCACCAATACCCGAAAGAGATGGCCAGGATAGAGAAGGAGGACGCGAACCATCCCCTGCTGCTGCTTGCAAAAGGCGACATACGAGAGGTCAGTCACCTTGGCATGAGAGTGTGCTTGTCGATCCATTGACTTACTGCTTTGTGGACTATTTCAGGTTCACGTTGACTCCCTCAAGGTCAGCCGGAGGCCGATCCGCAGCCCAGCGCCTAAATTGCTTTCTTTCTGCAGGTGCATTTCAGTATGTGTGTATCTGGGCGGCAGCAGAGCTTCGAGTCCAATCCTGCAGCTCTGCTGACGCCCCCCTCTGTGGCCCCTGGGCGCTCGTCCAAGGGGCCTCAAGGACCTCTCCGAGACGCCACACTGACCCTGTATGTCGACCCGACCACAGAAACAACGTATCATATCGCCGAGCAGCTCTTCGAAGCCACCAAAGAGCCTTTCGAAGCCATCAAAGAATGGTTAGCGGCTTACACAAGAGCTTTCTTCATTTGTGGGTGACTTGTTTTATCTTTGTGTGTTTCTGTCTTTGTGCAGGTTGCTGGTCGGCCTGGCGTCCGACGACGCCCTTAGAATGATGCTGAAGGCACGCCGCATTCCCATGGGCGGCTCTGCGTTGGTATTGTCGACGGCTGCGTGTGATGACGGGAGCTCTGATGATGAGCCAGCACGAGTCGAGCAGCCCACAATGCGGTAAGGAACCATGAATGAAAAAGGCGGGTGTGAGAAACGTCTCTTACTGTCTGCAGAGCTGGTGTGAGACGTCGCACGGCTCAAGGGGGCCTCACTCTGACTGAGGACGAGCTCGGCCGACGACAGACGAGGTAAGCGGCCTTACCTGTGGTTCATCAAGCTGGTGTTATTGGCTGTCTGTTTGTCTGCCAACAGAGTGGTGTTGAGTGCCCAAGAGTATGTGACAGTGACCCATCGAGTACCCAGCGACGCCGTGCTGCGACAGATTGGACGGTAGGCTTGCTAAACGTGTGAATGCAATGGAAAGCTCGCATTTGTGTCTGTGCACAGGGATGGTGAGCTTATGGCGTTTGAAATATTCCTTCCGAAGGTCCTCTCGAGCCTGGGGTATCGTTCGGGCGACAATTCCATCGGCAATGATGTGTACGTCGCCACGCTCACCGAAGGTGAGGAGGAGCGCGGCACATTCATAGTATTAACGTTGTTGCCCGCTGCTGCTGCTGCTGCAGAGGGTGGTGGCATGAAGATGTCCTGCGTGTTCTTCTTGAACGCCAAGAAGGAGCGATACCTCCCTTTCGTAATGCACACTCACGCAGACACACAAGAATGAATGAATGAATGAATGGACAAGTCAATTGTCTATCAGGATATGATGCTGCTCGATTTGCCTGCTGGAGGATGGACAGACCACACCAGGGCAGCCGTTGAGGAGTTCTTGGGTCAATTGGATGTGACCAAGCCGTGGCTGCGACAGGGGGCCACTCTGCCCCGACCGTCCCTGCCGTTGGGCGCCAAAGTGACCTTCATAGAAATCAAGACCACAACACAGGCCAGCTACAAGTTTCGGCTCTCGCGGTGCGTGAGCAGACGATTGACCAGAACAGCAACCACATGTGTGTGTGTGTTACTGCAGGAATGAGTTTGTGCTGTCGAAGCTCAGCAGCCAGGAGGCAGCTTACGACTACTGGTCAGACAAACGAAAATGGATGGATGGATGGATGTATCGTATGCATGTGTGTCTGCGCAGGCTTCTGGTGATCAAGGACCTGAACGGCAGCCCTCAGTGCAGCCCACTCATCACGGACCTCTACCACCACATAGCCGACATCTGCGAGTGAGCAAGCTGCACCCATCCACCACGTGCTACATGCATCAACCTATGGGCTGTGTCTGCTTGCAGGGGCGTCGACTGTGAGTTTGTCGAGACCACAATTCCAAACTGACTCAATGCTCGCGTCACCGACTCGTTTTTGACCTTTTCTCAGCTGACAGCAAACGCTTTTGGTCAGTGCTTTTTTCGCTACTGGTGCATTCAATTGGCTACTGGAGTGAGGCCGGCGCTCGACTATGCAGCCACTATCTCCGAGGGATTGGTGTGCGCAGAGCGACAGAATGTGTCAGGGCAGGATGGTGTGTTTGTTTCTGTTTGTGTGTCATCATGTGTCATCATGTGTCTGCATGTCTCTGCTCCTCCCTGCATGTGAGTCAACTCGGTGTTCATCGATGTGTGCATGCCATCGTCTGCGTGTTTGTATCATAATATGGGGTCCATGTCCTCTTTTTGGATGGATGGCATTTTGAAGACGGTGCAACTGTCTGTCTGCATATGTTCTTGGTGTTGAGAGGATAAGTGCGCGTGACAGACCGACCTTCCACTCTACATCAGCCAGACATGCACGCCGCACGTGGACGAGCGACACGAACTTCTGTCTGCTATTGTGCTGAGCCGCTCTGTCTGCGGAAAGTGACGATGGTTCGAGAGAGCCAGTGGTGAAATGGATATATGGAGGAGGGTTTTTTTCGTTGTTGAGGCACTGGGAATGATGTATTGCTGATAGTGTGCGCGCACCGAATCCGTTAGAAGCTTGAATCGTCTGTCTCTCTCCAGTCGTGTGATGAATGGCATGCACCAGCACCCACCACTCAGTCAGTCAGTCAAACCTTAACTAGTGGTCTGTCGCCCACACACCCACACCCACACCCACACGCTCATGCTCACGCCCGCTGCAATGCACCACTCACTCTCACTCAGTCAGCCGCCGCGGAAGGAAAAATCCAACCCAGCCACCCGCCTCTCTCTCTCTCTCTCTCCGTGTGTGTGTGTGTGTGTGTGTCATATCGTCCGTCCGTCAGTTCTCCCCAATCACCGCCCCCCTGGGCGGCTCGTAATGCCCAAAGGTGTACTCCTCCACCTGCGTGTCCACACCCACCCCTCCCGGCCTATCATTGCTGTTGTTGTTGTTGCTGGTGACGGGGTCATCTGGAAGCGGCGAGGGCGTCCTGACGATCTTGCGTGGGATGCGGGCGACGCAGTGGCCGTTGAAGGGGTCTGTGTGGATGGCGATGTGTGGGTGGCACGAGTCGTAGGCGGCGGGGATGGGGATCGAGGTGGCGTGGATCGAGGGCGCCTGCTGCTGCCGCGGCTGCACACCGGGGGCTGCATAACAAACAGACAGACAGAGAGAGACGTACAGAGGTGGGCCGTCCCAGTGTGGGGCGCTGTGCGCCATCTGGATGAGTGCGTCTCTCTGTACTTGATGGTTTTATGATTTGTCCCGTCACTTCCAGACATTTCGTCCGAGGGTTCGATATGGCCGTCGTCAACATGCCGCCTGCAAAACACACACGTAGGCACTCCACTTGTGTCTCTAGCAAAGACTACGTTGGTCCGTTGCATTGAGTGCCTACCGGGCAGTTTGGCGTCGATATGGTAGCAGCCGTCCTTCTCGCCCGACCGCACGACAAAGGGATGTTCACTAGCCTTGGCATCGGTGACAGCGGTGCCGAGGACGACGGGAGCCGACGAATACCCATTGGGGTGGAAGAGGTCACGTGTCGTATCACCGTATGACCTGATGGATGGATGGATGGATGGATGTGGTGCATGGCATGCTGAGAGTGAGTGTGTGGATGGTTTGGGTTTGGGGTCTGCTTACCTCTGCCTGAAGAGCCGCGACGCCTGGCGATTCGCGTCGTGGTTCTGCTTGGCATCGTCCCAAAACACGCGACGCCTACACCATAGAGCACACACAGACACACGAATCTACCCACGCCGGCATGCTTTGGCGTTTTCTTGTGTGTGCGTGTGTGTGTGTGTTCATGTCTACGGTGGAGTTTTGGACCGCCCGCCCCTCACGGGATCGTCCTCATGCCCTATCTTGATCGGTGCCTGGTTATCCTGCGCACACATCGCACCGCAGCCACCACACCAGCGATACACACACTCACCATGCCCTCCCCTCCATCTCCCACCGGGCTACCGACCTCATCTATCAGCCGCTGCCTGCGGCTCATGGCTTGGGGCGGCAAACGAGAGATCTCCTCCATGCGCTTGCTCAGCACCTCACGCGACGGCCGGGCGTCCGTCCACCCATTGGCCCCACCATACCACACTGGCAGGGTGCGCTCGGACGGCGAGCGACCGATGGCCTTCTTCTTGCCCGTGGCGGTGTGGGTGTGGGCGGGTGGCTCCAGGATGATCGGCTTGCCGTCCATGGGCGGGATGGTGATGGGGGCCTCAGGCTGCTGCATGGTAGGCACAATGGTCTCTTTTGGTGTCTCCTTATCTTTCTCTGCCGCCCTTTTGTCCTTGTCTGTCTCGGTCTTGGCCTCTTGCTTGTCCTCCTGCTGCTGCTGCTGCTGCTGGGGGGGCTGGTGGGGCTGGTGGGGCTGCTGCTCGCCGTGAGTCTCCGTTGGCGGTGGCGGTGGCTCGACGACCGTGAATTGTTTGATGGCCTCTATCTCCTTGAGCCTCTTCTGCGTCATCACCGCCACCTCGTCCAGCTCCCGCTGCGGCACCGCAACCGCGCGCTTCGCCGTCGCCAACTCCCTCCCTCTCCCTCTGCCCCCCTCCCTCTCAGGTGTCCCACTGCTCCTCTTCTGCCGCATTGGTGTTGCCTGGCGCGATGAGGGCCCGCCAGACTGATGGCCGGGGTGCATCTTGTATGAGGCCAATGGAGTCATCGCCCGCCGGCCGCCCTTGGTTACCGGTGAGATTGGCCTGCTCCAGGTCTCCACATTCTGCCGTGTGGTCACCTTCCAGCGGGGCGGCGCAGGTGGGGCGGATGGGCGGGGAGGGGCAGGGGGCGGCTTGCTGCCCTCAGGGGGAGGGGGTGGGAGTGCCGCCAATGGGACAGACGATGGGCGAAGGGTCGCACCGCCCTTCTGTGGCGATGGTGGCTGCATCTTGATGGGTGTGCCTGTGGTGGTCCAGAGGAAGACCGCCCCGTCGTGCGACGTCGTGCAGACCACCTCGCCCGAGCAGTCGAAGAAGGCGGCCGTCACGGGCGACGTGTGGGGCGACGTCACACGCTCCAGTTGGTCGTGTGGTGTCGTGCACCGCTGATCCATGGTCACCGTGGCTGCCCCATTGTGCTGCTCCTCGTGGTCGAGTCCGTATGGCGCCGTCGATGGGCGGCTGTGGCGGGGCCGCGGGGGCAGCGATGATGTGGACGGATGGGCGTGGGGAAACGGCGCGAGAAAGAGCTGCACACACAAGGGACGGTGCAAAGAAGTGACACTGTATGTGTGTGTGTGTGGCTTTCTTTGTCTTGTACCTACCGATCTGCTATCTGTGTCAGCGATGAGGACGGTCTGGCGGGTGGGCCCCTTGCCCTGCATGAACAGGCGGTGAGGCAACACACCCTGTCAGACACAAAGAAACCCAACAAGGAAAATGGAGGCAGGCATAAAGAGAGAGATGCGATGCATGACGCCCAGCCCACTCGAGTACCCTTGTGTGTTTGAGGGGGTGGTCGTGATGCGCCTCTTGGGAGGCCCGGTTGTCCACCAGGGCGCCCTCATGCCTGAAGAGGGCCGGCTCGCTCCAGTAGCCGGCCACCGGGGGACCCTTGGGCAGCTGCCACTGATCGAAACCCCAACCACGCATCTGCAACAAACAAACACGGTGAATGACATTCACAGGTAGGTCATCGTGTGGTGTGGTGGGGTTGGACCCACCCCACCCCACCTGGGGGTTGTCAGCGATCCGGTGGCCTCCAGGAACGGCAAAACACAGCACTCCCCCATCGTCACCCACAGCTACCACAACCTGACGACCAGTAAGTAGGAGCGAACCGAGTGTGTGCTGTGCTGTGCTGGTCTTGGGACTCTCTCTCTCTCCGCCCACCCAGCCACTCACCTGTTTCCTCTGGTCAGCGTCCCTCACATTGGCGAACTGCATGGCCCTCACGCCCCCTACGATGCCGCGACACACCGGCCCCCGCTGCACGTCGATCGTCCCGTCCTCCAGGACGCCCGTGTTGCCCAGGGCGAATGTGTGGATGGCGCCGTCGGCCGCCCCCACGGCCATCCAGTGACCGTTGAGCGAAAAGGCACCACACGTCAACACAGTCGCTGCAAACAAAGAACACACACAAATAACGAAGAACGAAACAAGGCCCGCCCTTTTCCGGCCATCCGTGCCATCCATCCATTCATCACGTGTGTTGGTGAGATTCCTCTCGAACGAGACGTCTTTCCTGCCGGTGTGCTCATCCCACACAAGCACCCGCACGGCGCCGTCCGACCCGCCCGCCAGCAGAAGGCAGACCTGCTGGCCAGCAGCAGCAGAAGGGCCGGGTGAGGTCAAGGGCGGTGGCGAGCCTGTGAGAGGGTCGGGGAGAGTGACCGGCCATGGGGGTGAGATGGCGAGGCACGTCACTGGGGCGGGGAGGAAAATGCTCCGGCCTGAATGAATGACCATAGAAGGAGATATGGCGTTGGTTATGTTGTGTGTTTGTGTGTGTTTGTGTGTGTTGGGTTGACTGACGGACGTACCTTGTGGCGTGTCAGTGCTGATGTGCCAGGCCTTGACCTCTCCACCGTTGGGTGTGCCGCCCCCTGTGTAGAGGATCGGCAGCTGCGGGTGGGCCACGCCGCAGTGCACATAGCCCCAGTGACGCTCCTGCACCCACCGATCCGCCCATCCATCCGCCAATGGCGGCATGCAAACACAAGAGTGACCTTGACAGGGCTCCATCTTGTCCTCCTCCCATTTTACCCACCTGCACGACTTTGGCCTTTGAGACGTTCCTGGCGTCCATGGTGAGGATGGCGCAGCTGGTGAGCAGCGCCACCTGCTCCCCCAGGATGACCCCGCCTGTGACCTCCACCGCCCGGCCGCCAGTGAGGCCCTCCTGGATCTGCAACTTGGTCTCACGCCTTGGAAAAGTGTCGGTCAGCGAGAGCACCGAGGCGTCCTGTGTGCACACCAGGAGGCAGCTGCGGAGCGGCAGGAGGGCGCGCAGCGGGACACCCGGACGCACACTGACAAATCTGATGGAATGGATGGATGGCAGAGAGCGAAGGACAGACAAGGGGTGGGTATGTATCTTGCAGATGAGGTCTCTGTCGTTGCTGAACATTACCGTGTGGCGGCGATGTCTGTGAAGAAGAATACGCGGCCCTCTGAGGTGGCGGCCACGACCTGCCCGCTCTTGTTCCGACGATAGGCTACACACGTCACCGTCTCCCCTACTGCCAAACCTGTGCATCAACACCACCACCCCAACACAGTCATGATATTATGACCCCTGACCCCTTGTCCCTCACCCACCTGGCGTGAACGCGCCCCTCCTCTGTGTGAGCGCCGGGCGATGTCTACTCAGCGTCCAGAACTTCAAGTGGCTCGTCCCAAACGTCACGAACCGCACACAATGCGACCCCTCACCCCCTCCTCCCCCCGCACCACCACCGACATATACTCCCCCGCCCCCACCCCCCGCAGCAGCAGGCTCGCATACCACCCCCTCCACTCTATCCCGAAAGGCCGGCTGCTGGATGAGCGGCTGTGGGCTCGCCGATCCCCCCTCGCCGCCCATCCAGCGGACGGACCGTCCTGGGGACGGCACCTGCCAGACGGAGAGGGTGTGCTCCCGGTCATCGGTCACCGTGAGGAGGCGGGAGATGCCCTCCGCCACCTTTAGGAAGGCCAGGCAGTGGAAGTCGCCCTGCAGCGACGAGAGCTTGGCGCGGATGGAGTGGTCGGTGGGGTCCCAGAGAAGGATGAACGGCTTGCTGCGAGAGCCCCTCTGCTGAGCGGACGCACACACATGGGCCGAAGGGCAGTAGGCCAGACAGGTGACGGCCTCGGAGTGGCCTCGGAAGAACCGCTGTTGCTGTGGCTGTGAGGAGGGAGAGGCGGCGGTCTGCGGTTGTGGTTTGGCCGGTCTGGTGGGTGACGACGAGTGCGTGTCTGTGTGTGGGCTGATTGGGGCGAGGACGCACACGGACCCCAGCGAGTATACGAGGGTGCTATCATTGACAAAGGCTACGGCTGAGGGGCCATCTGAATCAAACGAACCAAGAGAGCAAAACTTGACGAAATGGATGGATGGAGGATGGATGGACTGTGGTTCAAGAGAGTGTCGATAGAGATGCGTTCGTTGTTCACCTTTGCTGAAGCCCAATGCATGGGTGAGGGTCAGAGTCCGGCCCGCCTGGCATGGCAATACACACGCAGGAAGGAAAACGAATTAATGCGGTCATCAGGGGAATCCGATGCATTCTCTTTGAGAATAAGTAGTACCCACCTGCGCCATCAATGGGAGATGAGATGCCGTCAGTGGCCCGTCACCGACCGACGATGGCGTGGAGCATCTCCCCTGTCATGCGATGCATGGCTTCGACCTCACTCCTGCGCTGAATAAACCCCAAGAACCGACCGTGTGCATCATGAGCTGGCAATGCTCATCCTGCATTCAGGATGCCACTGCATGGTTTCAGGCGCTGCTGAGCTTACCAAAACGTGGACACAAGGGCAATACAAGGTGACGGTCGCGTCCAGCGTTCCCAAGGCATGTTCAAGTTTACCGCATGCATGTGGAGACGCCCACGGGCTGGGGGCCAAGACTGCCGCCGAGATTGGACCCTTGTCGCTAAAAGGGGTGGTTAGACGGTCTGCTTGAGACTCTTGAGCTGCAGAAGTCAGCTGCCCCTGCCACGCGGGACAATGGGGACGCCTGCAATGTTGTTCTCTGTTGGTGTCATCATCATGGCCTCCCTCCTGCCTGTGGAGGGCTCGGTGCTCACCAACAGCACAAGCGGTGCCGGTGGGGCTGCCATCGGTGCCAGCAGCGAGGTCGTGCAGCCTGGGATCGACACACTAGTCAACTACGTCAGGACCCTGATGCGTAAGACCTTCAAGCCCGAGTAAGTGTGCAGTCTGCGCCCACAGTGCGGTGGCCGGGCGGTGGCCTGGCGCGGGGGGATGTACTAGGCGTTGCTTGATTGCAGAAACGGCGGCCTGTGTCTCTTTTCCCTCGGAGGAACCGAGTCGGTGGACGAGCCCGATGGCGACGAGCCCGACGGCGGTGGCAGCGAGTGTGCCTGGCAGTGTCCACACACCGGCAGGAAAACCAAGATGATTTTCAGCACCGGCAGTGGAACGCGGATCGTCAAGGACTTCGTGTGCGAGACGCCTGCAACGAAGAAACGGTGCACGACCGGAGGCGGCAAGGACTGCATGGTTGCGGCCTTCACGCTCGCCGACGCCGTCCACACGCTCGACGTCGGCAAGGTCCACTTCCCCACGCCGGGTACTTTTTCACAACCTGGGATGGGACACCTTGTTTGCGTACGGACGGCCATTCCTCTCTGTCTGTCTGTCGGTCGGTCGGTCTGTCTGTCGGTCTGTCTGTCTGTCGGTCTGTCTGTCTCCGTTGCCATCCGTCTACAGGCACAGTTTCAAGCTCGAAACAATGCACCCTGAACATCAAGGTACGTGAGCAGGGCGGGGTTCCCTCCCTGCCCGTGTCTCCCTGTGTGTGCAATGAACGAGTGCAGGTCACAGATTTCTCGACCACCCAGGAGTTCGAGATGGACTTTGACATGGACCGACTCAACTGCATGGGTGGCTCCGATGCTGGCTACGAATCTGACTGACAAATCCTACACTACAGATACTGCAGGCCTGCCTGCATGTTGTCGTGCGTGGTTGATCCCAACTGAGTGAATGGATGGATGGATGGACGGACGGACGGAATTGACTGACTGACCAACAGCCGACAGCCGACCGACGCGCAAGCTAAGCTCAACGAGATGTGTGTGTCCATCATCGGTCTCGCGCGGGTATCGAATCTCTGCGCCTCTCGCTCCCTCCCTCCCTCCCTCCCTCCCTCCCCGTGCAGTCAGTCAGTCGGTCTGTACACACACATACAAGTGAAGCTTCTCTACACACAGAGGGCCGCCACACACCACACCACACCACACCACATCACACCACAGCAGGCAGGCCTGCCTCAAAACCAGAGAGAGCCATGTGAAAAAATCATGTACACGCACACCCAGACACGCCGGCAGGAGGGAGTGGGGAGTGGGGAGTGGGGAGGTCCACAAGGGGCCCTCCAAAATCAGAAAGCGTTAAGGATCTTGACACTCATCTCGAACCCCAGAAAACACGCAGCATTGGCCTGAAAGAAGGAGACACGACGACAGACAACAACCAAGGACAGTCAGTACAATGCAGTGAGTGGTGCACTGCCGCCTCCCTCCCCTGACACAGGCACCCCCTGGCTTGGCTTGGCTTACCGGAAAAGCACGCAGCAACACCGGCCCCACCTGACACACACACCGCACACGACGACACGTGTGACCCACCGACAAACAAGGGCGTGTCGTGTGTATCGATCCATCCATCCATCCATCCCCCACCCTCCATCCATCCATTCCACGTGACCACCCACCGGACCGGCTTAGCTAGCTTACCCCCTTGTAGAAGCCCAGGTGTCCCTCTTTTTGGAGCACCCGCTCAAAGCAGTGGATAACCCCCTTGTAAGTCGGGTTCGTGTCGCTCTGGATCTGGATGTAGTTCTTGACGCGATCGAATGGAAGCTGACACACACAACGAACAGACACGCACAGGGAGGGAGGGAGGGAGGGAGAAACAAACAAAGAGAGAGAGAGAAATCAATGCATCCTCACGCCCACGCCACGCCCATCCACCGCCGTCCCGTCCGTACCTGCGCCAGCTGCGCCGAGACGCCTGCGAACCCCCCGCAGAGGAAGAGAGCCGGAGGGCTGAGTTCGCTCCGCCTCTGCTTGGTGGTCCTGGCCACCACCATCTTGAGGTTCTCGTACATGCCGAAGAACAACATATAGTTGGGGATCTCGCGAATCACGGTCGCGGCGAAACCCTTGTAGAGCCCACGCACGCCGAACTGCTGCACCAGCTGACGCGCGCAGTCGATGGGACCTGTGTGTGCAGATGTAAGAAGAGAGTGAAGAGAGTGTTGGGGCTCTGTCTGTCTGTCTGTCTGTCTGTGATCTGTGTGAGCACTAGGCTGACCGGCGTAGAGCTGTTTGTCGGGGGAGGTGACGTACTGCGTCTGCAGCCTCACCATGATCAGCTCCACAGGACAACTCACCACTGAACGAACGCACCACACCATACACACGCAGCACATGTGCAGCACACCGTCCTGACTCTTTCGCCCACTCGTCCCTTCAGCCGATTCACCTGAGTTTGCGATGCCCGCGAAGGAGCCGCACAGTGCCGCCTCCCACACCTCAGGGTCGCCGTCCGGCCGCTTGTTGATCATGAACAGCAGCGACCGCTTCGACGTCTCGTAGGCGTAGAACAGCACCGCATTCACCAGACCAATGCCAAGCAGCGGAGGAGTGATGCCTCTGGATGCAGCCATTCCATTCATTCACCACCACCCCGCCCATAATGGCTGGCTGACTCATTCATATGTTTTGATTGCGTGCCGTGGCGTGTGTCCCTCTCTTTTTTACTTGTAGAGGCCGCGCCATCCCTCCTCCTTGACGGTGATCTTGAAGCAGTCCCACCCATTGCGATAGCGGGGAGGGGACGGCTGTGTCTGCAGCCGCACCTTGAGCGTCTGGAAGGGGTGACCCACGATGGTCTGCGCCTGCAGAAATATGCACACACGAGAATACACTCAAGAGGCTGTGAGTGTGCGGAATGAATGCGATGCGTCACGCCTTTATGCAATACCCACCATGCCGCCGATGGTTCCTGCAGTGAGATCCCTCGCAGCCGCGAAGAAGGCCGATGGCTGCAGCTCCGTCATCTCCTCCACAGCTCAGTAGGGAGACTGACTGACTGCAGATCTTCCCAGCTCTGAGTGAAAGAATTTATCTATCGGCCTGTGGCCACATGTATGTGCACTCACCGCCGTCAGTGTGGCCACGTGCACCCGCCGCGCAATCTCCGTCGTCCTTCGCGAGCTTAGCTCGCATGAGGCTCCGAGAGGAAAAAAAAGAAATCCGTCGCTGCATTGGTGTGTTGTTCGGGTGCTACCGCCTTGGAGTGAGGGCTTGAGCAGCAAACCGCCTCCGAGCCCGTATAGCTGGGCCTCCCCCGGTGCTGACAACAGAGGACACCACTTCCGCCACACACCATGCGGAAACACCAAAACGCAGGTCAGTCGCCGCAGGAGAGAACAACGAGCCAGAAGCACACCCATCGCTATGTATGGTGGTAGTGAGTGACGCCATGCAATCCCTGTCTGTCTGTCTGTTTGTGCGCTGTGCCTCTCTCCCTCTCTCTCTGTTCTTTCTGTCTGTGTGCGTGTGGCTGTGTGTGTAACATTGTTTGTATCTGTCAGGGGAGGTTCCCTCTGCTTTGCAATCGATGGTTGCCCAGGTGGGCCGGGACGGGCAGCCAGCTCAGAGCTACTACCGCCCATCGCATGACGACGCCTACGCATCGGCGTCAGCCTCCAAGATGGCCCATGCATCAGCATCATCATCCTCCCCGCCCCGCCCCCACTCCCACCCCCCCTCCTACCCACACAGCCGCGACGACGACAGCCCCACTCACTCAAACCCCGACAACGTCCGCAAAAAGAGGGGGCTGGGAGTCGTTTGCGGCTGCTTCAGGGCGCAAGACGCCATTCCGTCAGTCTAACAGCACACACACAGAGGGCCAAGGGGGCAGGCTGATTGGTGTGTGGTTTGGTTTGGCGTGATGTGTTCAGGACGCAGCCGTTGAAGCCGACGTTGCCTGAGGCTGCGCCGCCATCGCCGAAGGCGAAGTCATACCTGGGGCCACAGAGAGGGCGGGACGTGGTCAGTCAAGGAGGGACGCTCGCACACACGGCCGGCCGGCGGGCATCGAAGAGGGATTCCTGGATGCGTCTATGTGTCCGTCTGTGTGTGTGTGTGTGTGTGGATATGGATGTGTGTGTGTATGTCAGGGTAAGAAGACGTTGGTGTTGGATTTGGACGAGACGTTGGTGCACAGTTCGTTCAAGCCGGTGGCCAACGCCGCCTTCATCATACCCGTCGAGATCGAGGGAAACGTCCACGACATATACGTTCTCAAAAGACCTGGTGCGGGGCGGTGCGTCGGCCGATCATATCATGGCACACACACACAACCGACCTTGTGTGTGTGTGTGTGTGTGTGTGTTTAGGTGTGGATGAGTTTCTTGCCTATGTTGCTCGCTTCTATGAGGTTGTCATATTCACCGCTTCGCTGTCCAAGGTCAGCACCGCACCGACGGACGGACGGATGGATGGATGTCGATCCGATCCATATGTGTGATGTGTGGAATGGAATGTGTGTGTGTGTTAACACAGTATGCTGACCCTCTGTTGGACCAGCTGGACACCAAGCGGCTCTGCACATGGAGATTGTTCAGGGAGGCATGCACACTCAGGTAATAGATAAATACCTCAGTCAGTGCTCTTCATGGGTGTGCGTCCATGTGTGTGTGGTTCAGGAATGGCTCCTACGTCAAGGACTTGTCCAAGATGGGGAGAGACCTCGCCACACTCATCATCATCGATGTGAGCCAGACAACACACACATAAGCACAGACACACAGACCAATGCACTGCAATGCATGACGTCACTACGCCACTCTCTCTCTCTCTCTGTCGTTGGTGGCTCGGTCGATTCGTTCAGAATTCCCCGTTGGCGTACAGCTTGCAGCCTGACAACGCCATCCCCATCAAGAGCTGGTAAGTCAGAGTTGTGTGTGTGTGATTGTCGATGTCTGTGTGTATCACTCAGGTTTGACGACGACAACGACCGCGAGCTGTTTGACCTCATGCCCATCCTAGAGGCACTCGCTATGGTAACTTTGAGCAAGAGACTGCACACCACAGAAGCGACAAACCAAACCGCCTTGCTCTGCTTTTTCTGTATCTGGTGTGAAGGTTGAGGAGTCGATTCCCACAGTGCTCAAGCAGGCGCTGTCCACTGTCGAGGGAGAAGAGGCAGGTCAGTCAGTCACCACTCACCCCCCCACACACACATACACACATTCAATCTCATGTTTCGTCTGTGCGCATGGCTGCTGCAGACATGGCCATGAACGAGGCGTCCCACAGTAAGCACACGACTAGGCCCATGTGTGATGAGAGGCAGAGCAGACGGACTTCCTCACTGGTGTGTCTTCCCTTTGTTGTGAGTGCTCTCAGATCACCGGAGATGACCAACACTTCTGGGTGGGAGAGAACATGGATGCGTCAGGCTGGCTGGCTGTTCGGCCGTCCATCGCAACACACACACACACAGACAGACCGACAGGCAGACAGTCACTAGTCAGTCGCAATGCATTCGTGTGTGTCTGAGTGTGTTCCTACTATTGGGGCAGACAGGGGAAGTCAGTCAGTCCGTCTGTGTGACCGCGGTTTCGGTGTAAACTGTCTGTGTAAGAGTGTGTCTGTGGGTCCGCCATGTCATCAGCTCGTCACCGAGCGTGGTTGTTTCCCCCTCTTGTCTCCCTCTCTTGCCGCTAGCTACAGTGCGTCGCCTGTGTGCCTCTAGCTCGCTCCCTGCCTGTCAGACGACTTCACTGCACTCGCGCATGTGCCCCCGTGAATGGTGGCGCAGTGTGTGGGTGCCTTGATGTCGGCTGGCGGGAGGGAGGGACTGAGCATCTGTGCGTCTGTGTGTGAAGATGCATGGACACCGATGATCCGGATCGAGTGCGTTGATGGATGGATGGAGGGGAGGATGGCTGATAAGGTTGTGCAGAGATTAAGGGTAAGGTCCCCGTAAACCGCCTCACGTATCGAATGGACGCGCTCTCTTCTCTCTGGGACAATGGAGACCGTCAGCTGGGACGGAGATCCACCCTCCCTCATCGGCACGGGAACGAAGTACTGCTAGTAGTGTGCTCGGGTTGTGACAAGGTAACGTCTGAGCAATGTCTGTGAAGTGTCTGCTAAGCCTTGTCTTCCTGTCTGTCTGCCTGTCTGTCTGTCTGTGTCATTTTGTGTCTTAGGATACAAAATGGAGCTGAAAGAGGGACTCATTATCGGTGTCCTGATCATCATCGATCTCCTCCTCATCGGCCTCGGTGCTGGTCTCCTTCTCACACCAGCGGCACTCGCTGGCATTATTCTGCTGGCCGTCGCTGGTACTCCAGCAGGTATTCTCCTGCTGGCCCTCCTCGCAAAGTGTTTGTGCTCGTGTTGCGATTTCTCTGGGGATGGCCAAGGGCAAACAACGGACCAGCAGAAACGAATGAATGATTTCGGTGTACAGGTTAACAAGGAATTGGGTCCGGGTACAGCAGGCCATGGCCATTGTGGTGTCTGACTGGTGTAGCGTAGCAGCAGCGCCACCTGTACGTGAAGTGGAGGGTAATACATCCTCCAGCCATAATCCGTGTGCCATAAGTTTACTGTACGACTGTGCTATGGACACAAACGAGTGTACGTCAATTTGATGTACGTTATTTGCTGTGTATTTGCGTGTCTGTGATTTTCCCAGTGCACTGCCTGTACTGTATCTGTCTGGCTGTCTTTTTGGCCCTCTTTTTCAGCCCTGCTGTGGTGTGTGTTGTTTGATGTTTGGTGAAGAGACAGAGACAGGGTGCATCTCGTGTGTGTGTGTGTGTGTGTGTGTCTGTGTGATGTGTGTGTATGTGTGTTTGTCTATGCTTGGATGCTAGTAGCGGCAGAGCTGTATCATGGGCTGAGGCGTGTGCCTGCATGGGTGCACGAGTGAGTGCGTGAGAGGAGAGGGAGGGAGCGGAGTGAATGCGCTTCATGAAAGGGTTCACATGCCCTCTCTGTCTCTCGTGCTGCTACGGTGTGTCGCCTGCGCGCCTTCAGCTCATTTCGTCTCTCTAAGTCGACAGTGTGTCACCCTCGTATGTGCCCCCGTGGATGGTGGCGCAGTGTGTGGGTGCATTGATGTCGGCTGGCGGGAGGGAGGGACTGAGCATCTGTGCATCTGTGTGTGTGAAGATCGGTGGATGGACAAACAAGTGCCTGTGGATGTGGCGATGATCGAATAGATGGACCCCTGTGGCAAAGTTCCAACCAGCAAATGACCACTCACGTATCGACGAAGGAAGACACACAAGTCGTCGACAAAGCGCCGCTTTGCGGCCCTGTCTCTCAGTCAGGTCAGTCCGGACATGCAGTATCCGCACACACCATTCATTGTGATATCAACACACCCCCACCCAGCTAGCTGAGCTGCCTGGCAGGCCAGGCCACCATGGATGGGAGATAGATGAGACTGTACACCACCACACCACACCACACCACATACCACACCACATACACCCCAGCTAACTACTCCCTGACCTTGTATCTCCTCTCGTTGCCCTTCCCACCGCCGTTGTTGTCCTGCTGCTGCTGCTGCTGCTGGCCGCCCCCTCCCCTCCCCCCTCCCCGGCCATTGCTTGCGCGGCCCACATTGGACCGTTTGGCGTAGTAGGAATCACCGCCGCTCGACTGAGGCGGGCGCCTGTCCTGGTGTGTGCGCCAGCTGCCGTCCACGTAAATGGCGTTGGGGTAGTCCTCACCTGCACACAGCCATATATCCACACATCTATGCCGTTAAGTGTGTGTATGTGTGTGTGTGAGGTGGGCGAGGGGGCCTGACTGACCGATGCTGCAGTTGTATTGCTGCTGCTCGGCGGGGGTGAGTGTCCAGGGGCAGTGACACTTGGGGCTCTGCACACACACACACACACGGATGGGTGGGTGGGTGGATGGTACACACCACACCGTCCATGGCATGCGCCTCACCGGTATGTGTGTAAGCTCAGGGCACCACAGCTTGACGTACTCGCCGTTGGGGTCATAGTCCATGGCCTGCTTGATGATGTTGAACTTGCGGTCCTCACGCGGATCGTTGCCGATGCCCGCAGCGTAGTTCCAGTTGCCTGCAGCCAGGCCAGCCATATAGATAGAAGACCAGACCAATCTCACCCCCTCCCGCCCGCCCCATCCCC